TGCCCGGAAAACCCGACAACCCTAACGCCTTTATCCTTGTGGACCGATCCTATGGCGGCTGCACGCTTAGGGCTGCCGTTAGTGGAACTTGACGACAACGTCTGAAATATTAACCGATCTAGGCGGGGTTGTTGTAGCCGCTACAACAACAACCTTTTATGATTCCATACACCTATTAAAATACCATAGATTCAAAATATGTACCTTCTTGGCGGTAACTAACATATCATCTTAATTCAAAAAGGCCCTAACAAACAACTGTTTTAATTTTACAGGGGAAGCAAAAGACATTCCGCCCTATGTTGAATATCGCCATCGTCAGTAAAAGTGACGATACGGCCATTGTCAGCCATGTTACTGATGCGCTGACGATCGTCGACGATGACGATGGCGATATACAGCATAGGCCTTATTATAAAATGGGTATAAAAAACAGGTAGGGCCTTTTAAAAAGAGGCATGTTATCCGTTGTTTTTGGTACTAAGCCTTCCAAATTTTTGTTGAAGGTGTATTTTAATATATAATAATTTAATCATTATTATGACTTGTAAATATATACATATTGTCGGTTAAAACCGCGTATCGTCGTTCTGCAGAACCGCCTGACATTTTTTGACAAAAATTGGATTTGCTCACCGAAGCTCTTGGCTCAAGCCTTATGCATTCGTCCCGAAATATACTAGCCAGAAATGCGAGTGCTATATAAAAAAGAGCACCATTTTGAAATATGAGTGTTTTTACTCTAGAAAATAATTTATGCTACCTTACATACGCGGTTGTGTACTTTAAACGACGATATGTATATTAATTTGTAATAGATGTTACATGAATATTGTTGTTGTTGTAGCGATTACAACAACCCCGCCCAGATCGGTTAATATCTCAGTCGTTGTCGTCAAGTTCCACTAACGGTAATCCTAAGAAGCGTGCAGCCTCAATACGGTCGGTCCACAGGGACAAAGGCGTTAGTGTTGTCGGGTTTTCGGGGATACCAAGAGATTTTTCGAGTGATGAGGTGTCTCTCCGCATGCCGGACACTCATTTGGTACATCTGCGTTTAGTCTGTTCAGGTATGAGTTTAACCTGCTGCATAGCCAGAGCGAAGTTGGGCTATTGTGTTTTTTGTCTTCCGAGGCAGATGAAGCTCCGTCTCGTTAATGTCCGGTACATGACTCGAGACTGACACCCTGTGACTGCCGTTCAGGGCCTGACGATAAGCTGACGGGTCCACAGTTTGTTTAATGAACCTCTGGACTTCGTCCGTCAGTTCGTTGTTGTTGTTGTTGTTGTAGCGGCTACAACAACCCCGCCCAGATCGGTTGGTATCTCAGTCGTTGTTGTCAAGTTCCACTAACGGCAACCCTAGGAAGCGTGCAGCTTCTGTGGGATCTGTCCACAGGGACAGGGCCGTTAGGGTTGTCGGGTTTTCCGGGCATGCGAAGAGATGGTTCGAGTCATGATGGGTCTCTCCGCATGCCGGACATTCGTTCCGCACATCCTCATTCAGCCTACTCAAGTAGGAGTTTAACCTGCTGCAGTAGCCGGAGCGAAGTTGAGCGAGTGTAGTGCGTGTCTCCCGAGGCAGATGAAGCTCTGTCTCGTCAATGTCCGGAGGTGGTATCCCATTCCCACGACAGCCGGTTCTACGTACATTCCCACGACAGCCGGTTCTACGTACCGGAATGACTCGGGTTTCACCCGACCAAGGGCTGTTGTTTCGGCGATCTAACCCCGTTTAGGTCGGCGAAGTATCTCAGAAGTTGTCCGTCCATAGGGCAACATTCACTACGCATTCTCCGTCAGTTCGTAGAGATGCCTCCTAACGTGCCTGGGCGAAGGCTCTTCTGCAAGCCGCTGTTTGCTGGGATGACCACGTCTGTGGCTCGCCACAAGGAACTGATTGCAGAGCATTGTATTATGCTCCTTGACTGGGAGCATCTGGGCCTCGTCGTTTAGGTGATGTTGGGGCGACATCAGGAGTCATCCAGTCGCTGTTCGTAGTGACGTGTTCTGGCAAGTCTGTAGCTTCATCCACTGCCTCCTGCTAGTCCCAGGCGAACACACGGGTGCTGCATAGTTTAGAACCGATCGCCCAATTGCCTTGTATGTTGCCAACAACGTTTCTTTATCTTTGCCCCAAGTGCTGCCGGACAGCGACTTGAGGACATTGTTGCGGCTCTGTACTTTGTTGAAAATCGCGGTAATCAGGTAATTCGCCGACCACCTGTGGGAGTGAGGAGGCCTCTATATATTGTAGTAGCGTTGAATGACTGACAGTGTCGAACGCCTTGGACAGGTCCAACGCTACTAGAATAGTTCTCTCACAGGGGCGGTTTCGGTTAAGGCCACGAGT